TGGAAAGAAAGCCAGGCAAACAATAACCAAAATTATTTGATATAGTTATATCAATATTAGGTATGATAAACTCTGAGGCAAAATAAAGCACTACTAAAGAAAGAGAACGTTTGGGCAGCGCCTATGGCTCAAGGGGTAGGGTGCTGGCCCCATATACCAGAGGTGGTGGGTTCAAACCTGACTCCAGCCAAAAAAGAAAGAAAGAAAGAAAGAGAATGCCACACTCTCAACTTGTTTGCATCAACTAACATAATTTAAAAAGATTTAAGCAAAAAGTGACAGACCTATAAGGTGAAACTGATAAATCTATTGATCCTCAATTAGGAGAATTTAAGACAACTCTTTCAGTAATTGATATATTGAGGGAAAAAAATCAGGAAAAATACAGATGCTGTGATCAGCACAATTGCTAAAATTGATGGAATGGGAATAAACAGACTACAGTGCCCACCACTGAAGAGTGCACATTCATTTTCAGCATATTTCAGCAAATAAATATCTGAATCAAATGAAGCACTTCTTCAATTCCAAACAATTACAGACAGGCAGCATTCTTTAAAACACAATTAATTTAGAAATCTGTAATAAGATGTATTTTTAAAACTCACACATATAGGCTCTGCACCCGTAGCTCAAGTGGCTTAGGCACCAGCCACATATACTAGAGCTGGTGAGTTCGAATACAACCGGGCCTGCCAGACAACAATGACAACTACAACCAAAAAATAACCGGGTGTTGTGGTGGGCACCTGTAATCCTAGCTACTTGGGAGGCCGAGGCAAGAGAATTGCTTAAGCCCAGGAGTTGGAGGTTCCTTTGTTAAATTGGACAAATAATTAAAATGCCACATTATCAAAATTGGCAGAGTGAATCTAAAATAGAATATCTGTGAAAAGTTAATTTTTTTCATGTGATTATTTTTGGAACATTCAACATCAGAAATTAGAAAGTAATCCATAATAGAAGAAAAGAGATAATAAATATAATAAAATAAATTTTAAAAAATTATATGGAGCCTAGCTATGTAGAGAAAAACTGCTTTGTGAAAAATTAGTCCTGATTTATCCTATAAACAATTCCCTGCAGGGCTATTTAATTCCAATTTGTAGGGGATTTGCACCTTCCATTGCCTTTGAACTATTTTGCAACTCAGCAAGATACAGGTGACTGAGTCATCAAAAAAATAACTCTTGTCTATAGACTTATAAATAAACTAGATGCAATGGAACTTTAATTGACTTCCCTTCCCCACTGCAGAGGCAGCCAGTTTTGCCTTCATTTCAACATTTATTTTCATATTCCAGATTTGTAAATGTGTCTATTCCTCAGACTGTTATAATATCAGACTGATTCCCTCATTAATAAGTAAAACAGAATCTTTAATACATGTTTATTTAGTATCTGTATGGATGTCACGATTCTGCCTTTTAAAGACATTATTCTCTATCATAATAAACAGAGCCAAAATTTGTTTCTTTGAAAGAACAGTGGATAAATCAAACTAAACCGTAGGCGAGACTAACAAAACAAAGAAGACGGAACACTAAGCCAGTACTAAGGACAGAACACAGGACATAATCAGAAATGTAGCAGAAATTAAAATATATTAAGAACATCTTGTGAAAGCCCTAATGCACTAAAATCTGAAAACTTAAAATGAAATGGAACAACGCCTAAGAGATATAAATGCATAACTTACTTTAAAGGCAGGAATCATAAATGTATACTAGAACAATTGGTAGACAGGCTGTCACACACTAAGATTCACAGGCTTTTAAAGTACATTACAACTAAATGCAATGAGTTTATACTGGAACAGATGCTGACACAGAAAAAGGTTATAATGTGGAAAAACTGCTTATATCCAAGTAACCTCTGTAGGTGAACTGATGATAGCGTGTGAATATTAATTTCCTAGTTATGCAAATTTACCATGGTTAAACGGCAGGTTAACACTGGAGGACCTTGAGCTAAGAGTATACAGATATTTTCTGTACTATCTTTTTAACATTCTGCAAATCTGAAGTTACCCTAAATCTTAACCTTTATTTACAAAAAGCAAACTCTCCTACATACTAACAATATAATATTAAAAAATGTAATTTCCCAAAGAGATTTTAGCAGCAGTGTGTGAGAAATATAGAAATAAATCCAAATAATTGACCAGCAACATATTTATGAAGACAACTTTAAAACCGTGTAGACATTAAAGAGGACCCTAATAAAAAGAGAAACAAAGTTTTCAAGGACGGGAAGAGTCACTATTAAAATGCGGTTAATTCTCTTCAAAATGATCCATACATTAGACATCCGGACACTAAACATGACAACAGTGGTTTTCAAAGAACATTTGGCCTAGGAATATATTTAAATCAAGGAACTTTTTGCCCTAAGAATATATTTAAAAAGTAAAATAGCTAGGATGCTCCCCAAAGAAGAAAATAACGTGAGACTTCCTATGACAAAGCTTCTGTGGTGCTACAGTAATTAAGACAGTGTCATTCAATTGAGAAAGACAAAACTGACCAAAGTGACAGAACAGGATCCAGAAACAGAGCAGAGTATGTGAGGAAACCCGACCTTCAAGTCAGCTGGAAAAGAGAAGGACTCGTCAACAAAAGATGTTGGAACACTGTTGGACACCCGAAAAACCTCACACCACAGACAAAAATAAATACCAGAAGAATCAAGGAAAATGAGAGGTGAAATTCAAATAGCCATATAGATCAATAACAAGTAGGTAAAAATGATGACACCTCTGCACGTTATCTGGGGAACAGAGGGAGACTATGCCCCCCAAATTAAAACAAAAACCTAGGCAAAAGTTAGGAGCAATCATTGCAAAGGAAGGGAAGTATCAATGATCAATAGTAAATATGGAACTCAATTCAACCTCATTAGTAATGAGAAAAATGATTTAGAACTAATAATAAGGTATAATTTCATAGTTACTATATAAATTTTCTTTAAAGACAAATCAAAAGTTAATGAGAATTCTGCATAATGGAAATTCTTACAGATTTTTGTGAGCCGTATAAGCTGATCACTTTTAAAAACAATTTAATTCTACCTAGTAAAGTTGAAAATATGAATATTTAAAAACACTCAAGCCATTCTTAGATAGATACTCAAAGTGTTCTTGCATTTTTTGCACAAGGAGAACTGGAAATGAGCCAAATGCTTATCAAAGGAGAAGAGACAAAAAGAATCGATTATTATAAAATGAAACACTATATATCAAGGAAAACAAATGATCTAATAAGCTATCTGCCTCAACATAAACTAATTTTAAAAATATATTTTTTAGTTTGGTTTGTTTTGAAATGTATTATCAGAGCACAAAAAAGATATTTCAAGTCAGGCAAAAAGTAAACTTTGTATAAGACAGTTCATACGGAAATAGGTACATGGTATAAAGTTGTAAAGAAAACTAGGCTTTAGTGCAACAGTTAGACTTGAGGGATAAGTAAAAGGTTTAATCAGAGAGAAACATGGTAGGGGACTTCACAACTCTTTGTAATTTCTGAAAAGATTATGAAATGTTCTTTCGGGCTATACCTGTGGCTCAGTGGGTAGGCCACTGGCCTCATACACTGAGGGTGGTGGGTTTGAACCCGGCCTCGGCCAGCTAAAACAGCAGTGGCAACTGCAACAAAAAATAGACAGGAGTTGTGGTAAGTGCCTACAGTCCCAGCTACTCAGGAGGCTCAGGCAAGAGAATTGCTTAAGCCTAAGAGTTGGAGAATTCTGTGAGCTGTGACATCACAGTACTCTATAGATATATATAAATAAAGAAGATTTATTATTTTTATATATATAAAATTTTATATATATAAAAGAGTCAATAGGTGCAGTAGAGCCTGGCAAAAAACTATAAGTGTTAGGAGATATGGGTCTTAGCATTTGCCTAAAATATGAATGAGATCCAGGGCAACTACTGTACTTCAGTATCTGTGTATCTATAAAATGAAGGGTTACACCATATAATTTCTAAAGACAGTTAGATAGCTTCTGGTTCTCAAACTCTAAAATTATAAAGAGAGAAAAAGAATCTGAAATACATAGTCACAGACATAGCAAATGAGACAAAGGAACTACGTAAATACTAAAGATACAAATTGTGATGACAGCAAGTACAGAGTTTATTTCATCTGCATTGAAATATTTATCTGCAATACACCATGAAATGAAAATTCTCTTTTAACTTGTATATCAAAGAGAAAATAGAAAACCCGGGAAAGAAGTTCAAGTAAAATATTTTCATGTTATACAAATGCCACTGAAGTGAAAAATCAGCAGTAAGACCACCCAACCTTGACAAGTGTATTCATATGGGACTGAAAGTGTAATATTTGTGTGACATACAGTAGGTGGTCTTTTGCGTGGGTGAAATATTCCAGCTGACTTTGTTTCATGAATGCTTCTAGTAGAAAGAATGATGAATTCCTACCTGGCAAGGCAAAATGTTAGCAGAAATTCCTAATTCTGCTTTCAGAACTGTACTTTTCTTGGTGAAGAACTTTCAAGCTTCTCAGTCTTGTGTGTGTGTGTGTGTATCCATATGTGTTTTGAGGTATAATAATAAGTACTCACAGGTCAGTTCTTTCTTTTAACAGCATATTGTTTATTTTATTGATGAGGCTGTCAGGAAGATCAAATATAAGATTTTTAGCACTAAAGGCAAATTAGGTATCTGGCACAACTAGACTCTTCTGTGCAACTTTTTATTCTCTATTTCTTATTGAAAATGGTTTTGCACCATAGATGCTTTTTACCATGAATTATCTGAAATCACTTTAGAAGGAAGTAGAAAGTAATGACTCTGTGCATGTACGTGTCTTATTTCAAATGAAGACTTTCAGGGAAACAGGGCTTATAAAAGGTTGAACATTTCTTAGATCATCAGAAAAATAAAACAGATGCCGTTTAAAATCAGATCATCAGAAACAAGATTTTGACAGATGTTATCCGATGTTGGAATTTCATGTCTGACAACTTACTTGCATAGGTCATCTTCTGGGTCTTCAAGCCCAAATCTCTCATCAAACGTAAGTTGTATCCAGACATTTTCCTCTACAGCTACAAGTCTCCATACCAAGACCATATTTCTTGGATAAGTATGAGGAAACCTCGGGCTGTGAATGCTGCCATTACTAGACACAGTAATAACTCTCTCATGCTGAGGATCTTGTACTCCTAAAGCAAAAACATAAACACAGAAATATATTTAGAACAAACGTTTCAAAAATCAGAGGTTTCAAAATAAGTGTATTCTCCCTACTCCCATGTCACCTCTGACAAGTGTTGAGTCTGTCTTACACAAGCCAAATACCACCCGTTTCCAGAATTCATCTAGAAAAAAAGATGCACATTATTGAATAAAAATCCATGTATAAACGTACTTGAAGGAACGTAGAAAATTAGTCCTTTAAAATGTCATTGCTGAAAGGTCAACTATCAACTCTTTTGGATTCTGCAAATCAATAAAGTTAAGATGCTAATTTTTGAGAAGTTACCAAATATGTCATGTTCAAATAAAAATAAACTTAATTGTACTTATATATGTATATCTAGATATCTGTTTTGTGTATATATATATGTACGTATATATATAAGGATTCGAATTCCGTAATTTTAAACAGCAGAGCCACAGTCAACTAATCATTAAAAATTTCCCTTAAATGGTCACATACCAATGTTGGGGTTCAGGGATGGTTTGTTTTTGCACATCCCTGACCCACCCCCGTCCCCACTGGTTCACGATTTTATATACAGCAAAATACGATAGTCTTATGGCAGTTCAGGAAAAAGAATTGTGAGGATAAAAGAGGGAGAAGGAATACAAAAGGAATCAACTTTGCTCACTGATCTTTGAAGTGCCAAATAGCAGACTGCACCACACACCATTACAGCTATTTAGCTGTTCTAATACATTATCAGTGGTCTCAACCTGAGAACTAATCAGTGAATCAATCAGTGGTTCACAGGGGGTCGCCTAATGTCAGATATTACATTACAATTCATAACAGTAGCAAAATTACAGTTATGAAGTAGCAATGAAAATAACTGTATGGTTGGGGGGTCACCACAGCATGAGGAATTGTATTAAAGGGTCGCAGCATTAGGAAGGTTGAGAACCACTGATTTAGACACTGAGCTGACAAAATGATCTTAATAACTGCTCATTATTTGGGCCTCTAACTTCTAAAAAAAAAAAAAAAACCCTGATATCTAATATAAACCCAAAGTTTGACATAAACTGGATGATCTCAACTCTTACATATAAAAAAGTAAAATGAGTCAAAATAATTGTCTCAGTTCTAAGTGAACCCTTAGAACTAATAGAAAATCTTAAAATAAAAAAAAATGTAGGGCCTTGTGGTGACTGAGTGTGTCAATACGAATATTAAATTCTAAAGGGAGAGTACAGTACAAAATGGGGTCCAAGTACATTGACCATGGAATTATTTTACATTTATGAAATGCTAAAATACATCAATACTCTTTTTATTAGAATTCTGGGGAGAGAATGGAGGGAAAAGCGAACAGGCTATGCTGAGAAAATGTTCTTTTACTCATCCGCTTGAGAGTGAACAAGGAGATACAATGTACAACTAACATTTATAAAATGAGTAATCATTCAACCACTCAAAAGAATCTAAAAACTAAGATAATTACAGTCTTCAGGCTATGAAAATCCATTTAAGTATGGAAATTCTAATAATGAAGAAAACCTTCGAAAAAATCCCCTATTCAATTTCTATTACAAAGTTATTAAAAATACTTTCAAAGGCCTAAAGTGGACCCTGAACACATGGAGCGATGTGCATAGCAGGATACACATATCTGGTCTCTCGAACTCGAAGCTCCAGCAATCCACCTGCCTCTGCCTCCCAGGGGGCTAGATTACAGGTCTGAGCCAGCACTCCCCGGCCAGGATACATGTATCTGACAATTTTATGGTGCAATTTTTATATACTCTTCCTATCAGGACCACAGTTTAAACTATAGCAATGCCTCTTTAACTGTCATGATTTAGAGACAGGCTACGCAACACTACACTCTGTATTTGCGGTAGGATCCTGGAGACATTAATATTATCACTTTGCAAGCTCTATCATTCATAGTCATGACTACGAGCCCCTTCTGAACATCCAGTCTCCTACCCCTTTGTACGTATCCCATAGAACTGTGAAATGGAGTTTACTAAAGCCTGTGGTACCCTGACATTTTAGATTAAACTCCACACTTTTTTTTCTCTCTTCCTTTCTCTTTCAGGGAGTGTTCTATTTGTCTCTTCTCCATGTTTGTCATTTCCCATATTCTAAGTCCCTCATAATTGACCAGTTCCCTAGTCTTTGTGGTCCCTATGCAATATGTTAAACTCTGTTCTCTTCCTGATTTCACAACACTGATCTCACTTCCTCTATGGTAGGAAGAAGAGTAAAATGGTCCCCAATGCCCCTCACCCTTGTATAATCCTATCCTTTGAGTGTATGTGACCCAACAAGCTATAACTCTCATGATTGGGTTAATTAGCGTGGAGTAAACGCAAAGGCAAATTATTTGGGTGGGCCTAACCTAATCAAGGGAGCCCATTTAAAAACATGAACCCTTCTAAACTCAGAGAAATTCAAAGTGTGAGAGGAATTCAACAAGAGGGAAGGTCTTTGTGGTTGGGTTTGAAAATGGAGGAGGCCACGTTCCAGTGAATCTTCTGAGCTTCTAGAAGATAAGGGCAGCCTATGGCTGACAGGCCAGCAAGGAAAAGGGGCTCTGTTCTAAAACGTCACGGAACCTAAAAGAGCTTGAAAGCAGTTTCCTCTCCACAGCCTCCAGAAATAAATCTAATCTAGTTGATGCCTTGATTTTAGGCTTAGAAGACCCTGAGCAAGAAGCCAGTCACAGAGCCTAGATTCTGACCTACAGAATTGAGAGTGAACAAAAAGTGTTTAAAGCTACTAAATTTGTGGTAATTTCTTATATCATATTAGAGAACCATTAAATAATGCATCTATTCTGCACAAAGCTATTTGCATTATGGGTATTTTTTTTTTTTTTTTTTTTGCTCTCAATTACAGCAACTTTTCGTTTCGTATTTAGGTCAGTCATATATTAGACTATTACTAAGGTTAAATAAACAGCAGTATGTTTTACCCTGAATTATCCAAAATAATGTTAGTAAGTTTTATTTATAATTTTTAAATTAAATAACTCAATGCCTCCATTCTTGCCGGTGCCTAAACTTTTCCTCAGCGGTAAACATTCTATACACAAACATGTTCACTCTGGATACTAAGATTGGGCACTTAACCACTACCTTCCCTATTCACAGGACGTGGCACCAGCATAGCTCCTAAGGCCACAAAAGATCTATCCAGTTAGATGAATGCTTCCTATGGACAAATTTTATTAAGAAAATGATGATCACTAATTATAAAAATTAAGTTTATGAGCTGTTTTTAAATATTTTTTTCTAAAAATGAGTATTTTCCTACTCTCTAAATTTTCTGTCAATAATCTATGTATTTCAGAGGGATTTATAGGACTAGTTTATATCAACAACCTTTCTCATTTGGGCAACAAATATTTTTAGTGAATTAATTTTTCCAATTAGACTCATGAAAATGGAATATTTGCTCCATGTTGTTTCAAAATAAGTGCCTTCCATGCAAGGTACTCTTAAAATAGAGCCGGATTTGCTCTTTCATATACATGTCTAATCCAGCAGACGACAGAGCTGTTAAAAGATCTGAATTCTATTTTTATATTTTCAGTTGAAAAAGCTCATATCTGAAACGAATGTACTTCAGTTTGTGTTTACATCCCTTTTCTCCCCTTTATAATTCACAATTCCAATAGACTATAATTAAACATAATTTAAAGACCGAAAATCTGAGCCTTATTTGTGGTAAAAAGGACTGTAAATTTTCTTTTAAGTTAAATTGCTGCTCCCCCCAAGTTCACCTTGAAATGCAATGAGGTTTGCCACCAAATATAGATGATTTTCAGATGACTTTCAAAGTTTTATGTTAATCTCAAGCAACTAGACCTATAATCAGAGGAAAGAAAGACGCAACAAACACTTAAGTAATACCAAATTAAGACTCTGAGCTTATAGTGCTGCTGGTTTAAAAGTCATTTTTAAAAACATACAGATGTATTAGTATTTTAGGGATGAGAGAAGTTCACAATCATGACAATTTTGTCAAATATTCACCTTTCCTATATCCAACCAACAGTATACTCAAAGCATCAATGAAATAAACGTTCATAGTCAAATCACTAAAATACTTATTTACTGCATTGTCCTTGCAATGTGTAGTGAAAAAGGAATATGTTTTCTATATGTTAGAAAAGAGTTAACATGAAAAATGAAAATATAGGCTTGGCACCTATAGCTCGATGGTTAGGACGCCGGCCACATGCACCAGGGCTGGCGAGTTCGAACCCAGCCTGGGCCTGCTGAATAACAGTAACAAAAATATAGCCGGGCATTCTGGCTCCTGGGCCTGCTGAACAATAATGACAACAGTAACAAAAATATAGTCCGGCATTCTGGTGCCTGTAGTCCCAGTTACCTGGGAGGGTGAGGCAAGAGAATCACTTAAGCCTAAGGGTTTGAATTTGAGGTTGCTGTGAGCTGTGACGCCATAATACTCTACTGAGGGCAATATAGTGAGACTCTGTCTCAAAAAAAAAAAAAAAAAGAAAACATGGGTAAGCACTAAATGTTTAAAATTAAAATTATCACTATATACAAATTTATATTATTCTGTCCAACCCCTCTTAAGGCAGTGAAGGATTGAAAACTCAAATGAAGCAAAAACAGAAAAAGAACGAGAGATTAATCATGCAAATACTGTAAAATTGTTGACTACATGTATACACAGATAGTTCAGTTATAAAGAATCATTATATACCTGTAAGTAATCAGTTTAGCATTAAAATCAAAGCAATTTCATAATGTTTACCATTCATTGTATACTATTGGTCCCTTTAAAGAAATATAGTAAAACCTCTGTAAGTCGCCCACCCAAGTGACAAACCTACAGGGTGGTCAATGTAAGGAACCAGGCCTACTGTACTGACACGCAGACGTGGTGCACATCCAGTCTATGAAAATTAGGACAGCTTAAGGAAGTGGTAAATGTAGGGAGGTGGTCAACTAAGGAGGTTCTCCTGTATTTATTTATTATGAACGAAAGAGGTAATAGCAGTAAGAGAATCATAAAAAGTC